TGTATGTATATATATAAATAAACGAAGGACGGATTCGGCGACGGCGGCACGCCCAGAGACTGGGGGGCGTAGAGGCTCAGCAGACCTGGTGATGTAACTCGACGGAACCTTTAGGCCGCTCGGTGCTCAAAAATTCTGAACGGCTACACCATGGAACGAAACACGACCGATGCCGCTGCCTGAGTAGTCGAAGCTACATAGCTGCACCCACTTCGTCGCCACATATCAGCACTGTAAGAAGACAAGATAAGACCAGCTTCCGAAAAATCTGACCCTGGCCCTCTGCAGGGGCGTTTGGACTAAGACTTCGAATGGTATCCAACCGCGTCGACAGGAAGCCTCCTGGAAGCCCCGTCAAAATCCCATTACTTTCCGAAAACATCAATCCATTTACGCAACCGGCTTTGACGACTCAACGCGCACGACGCTGCGCGTGTTGTTGGGTTGCGGCCCGCTGCCACTCCCCCGCGACCAGCCGCCACGGCTGCTCTTGCGACTGGTCGGCAGCGACCAATAGCTGCCAATCTCTTGCATCCCACGCGACAGCACGCGTGCGGGCGGACCCCCGCCCCCTGGCGGGCGGCGCGGCGGCGCCTGAGCGCATCACGTCGACGAAACGGCATCCCCCTGTCGTTTCGGAAGGCCGCCGTGTCGCCATCGGTGTTGTGATTCGAGACGGCCTCCGCATCTCAAGACGTATGACGTTGTGCACGGTGTTGAGCTGCGGCTCGTTGCCAATCGCCCGCGCCACGTCTGACACAAAACTGCCAAACCACGACCTGTGACGGGTCGTTTTCCACATGTGGCTCTCGCTTTAGCGCCGCGCACATTCGTCTTAACACATTGCAAGCGCATCGTTGATTGAGGGAGGTTCTTTTCCACAGTGTGGCTCTCGCCTCAACGCCGCGCTCATTCGTCTTAAAATATGCAAGAGCTTCACGGGTAAAGGGCAGCTCAGTTTCAAAATAAGGATCTCACCTTAGCGCCGCGCACATTCGTTCAAACATTTGCAAGAGTTTTGCGGACTCACATGGTCAACGTATCAGAAATGGTGTTTGGGGCGATTCAACCGTGTCAGGGCGGAACAGTTATGTTGATCTGTGGCGTTGAAGTCCCAGAAATGGTGTTCTGACGCGACCCAAGATCGTCAAAACGCAACAGTCAGGTTTGTTCGTGGCGTGGGAGTGTTGAGAACAATGTTTGGCACGTTTCAAGATAGTTAAACGGTTGTCTCCCAATAGAGCACTTCCTTCAATAGAACTAAATCCATGTATGGGGCCTATGAAGAGGGAGCTTGCAGGGATGGCGCATTCCAACATCGATGATGATTATTGGGTTGACTCTGGTCTTCCTCCTCCTCCTCCTCCTCCTCCTCTTCCCTGCCTCCTCCTCCTCCTCCCTGTCTCCTCTTCCTCCTCCTCCTCCTTCTCCTTCTCGCTGTCTCATCCTGCCTGTCTCCTCCATTCCATTTACTTTTACATCACATTATATAACTCCTCCCTGTCGCAGCCCGAAGCCAGTCGGAAAGGCTGGCGGGCGTTTCGCCTGACACTTCCTTACTATGTGTGATCCTAGCGCTTGAACTTGGCAACAATTTCACACATCGATGGCAGATGGTGTTCAAAATGGGGCTCTCGCGTTAGCGCCGCGCACACGTGTTACACATTTGCAAGAGCTTCACGGGTTGAGGGCGGGCTCTTTTCCAAATGTGGTTCTCGCCTCAGCGCCCCGCACATTCGTTTTAAACATTTGCACGAGCTTCACGGATTGAGGGCGGACCATTTTCAAAATGTGGCTATCCCTTTAGCGCCGCGCGCAGTCGTCTTGAAAAATTACAAGGGCTTCACGGATGAAGGGTATGCAGTTCCTTTTCAACATGTGGCTCTCGCCTGGGCGCCGCGCGCACTCGTCTTAAACACTTGCAAGAGCGTCATGGGTTCCCATGATCAACGCACCAGGAATGGTGTTTGGGAACGGCTCACGACTGTCAGGGCGGAACAATTACATACGTTGATCTGTGGTGTTGAAGTCCCAGGAATGGTGCTCTGGCGCGAATCAGGATCGCCAAGACGCAACAGTCACGTTAATTATTGGCGCTGGGTCACGAGAATTAAGTTTTGGCACGCTTCAGGATCCAAGCGCCCCCAGGCGCTCCCGCGCGCTCCTGGGCGCTCCCAGGCGCTCCGAAGCGCTCCCAGTGCTCCCAGGAGTTCCGAAGCATTCCCAGGCGCTCCCAGGCGAACCCAGGCGCTCCGAGGCGCTCCAAGCGCTCCCAGGCGCTGCCCGGCGCTTCCAAGCGCTCCCAGGCGCTCCCAAGCGCCCCCAAGCGCTGTCTCCCAACTGAGCACTTCCCGCAGTGGAAATGAACCCGAACCCTCGTAGGGGCCTGTGAAGAGGGAGCTTGGAGGGAGGGCTTATTCTAACATCGTTGATGCGTCTTGGGTTTGCAGTGGTCCCTGTCTCCTCCTCCTCCTCCTCCTCCTCCTCCTCTCCTCCTCCTCCCCCCCGCCTCCTCCTCCTCCTCTCCTCCTCTCTCCTCCCTCCTCCTCCTCCTCCTCCTCCCTGTTTTCTCCTCAAACTCCTCCTCGTCCTGCTCGTCCTCGTCCTCCTCGTCCTCCTCCTCCTCCTCCTCCTCCTCCTCCTCCTCCTCCTCCTCCCTCCTCCTCCTCCCCCCCTCCTCCTCCTCCTCCTCCCCCTCCTCCTCCTCCTCCTCCTCCTCCCTCCTCCTCCTCCTCCTCCTCCTCCTCCTCCTCCTCCTCCTCCTCCTCCCTCCTCCCCCACATAGCAATATCCTGTCTAGCAGCGCGCTTGCACGCCCGCGGCGTGAAGAAGGAAGAGGAGGAAAACGATGACAGAGGCGAGAGGAGGAGGAGGAGGAGGAGGAGGAGGAGGAGGAGGAGGAGGAGGAATAGGAGGAGGAGGAGGAGGAGGAGGAGGAGGAGGAGGAGGAGGACGAGGAGGACGAGGAAAAGAGCGCAATGCGCTGCCAAGGTGCCATCCAACTTGCTGCCGCGGTCTCATAACAAATAGCACGAGGAGGAGGAGGAGGAGGAGGAGGAGGAGGAGGGAGCAGGAGCAGGAGCAGAGAGAGGAAGGAGAGAGGAGGAGAGAGGAGGAGAAGGAGGAGGAGGAAGAGGAGAAGGAGGAGGAGAAGGAGGAGGAAGGAGGAGGAGAGAGCAGGAGGAGAAGGAGGGAGAGGAGGAGGAGAGGAGGAGGAGGAGGAGGAGGAGGAGGAGGAGAGGAGGAGGAGGAGGAGGAGGAGGAGGAGGAGGAGGAGGAGGGAGGAGGAGGAGGAGGAGGAGGAGGAGGAGGAGGAGGAGGAGGAGGAGGAGGAGGAGGTGGAGGAGGAGGAATGAGGAGGAAGAGGAAGGGGGAAGACGGAGGGAGGGATGGAAAGGTGGGAGGGAGAGAGGTCGGAGAGAGGTCGGATGGAGGTCGGAGGGAGAGACGAGAAAGGAGGGAAGGAGAAGAGGAGGGAGGGAGGGAGGGGAGGGAGAAGAAAGCGGAGCGGGGAAAACCCAGCGATGGTACAGTTATCGTGCTGCCAGAAATAACGCCAAAAAAAAAGCGAAGGAGTTTTTCTGGCCACTGCGGGCCGAGGCTACAAACAGGCTCCACGACATAAATCTAAGGAGCGGCCCGAAAACCACGAGCCCATCCTCAGCCCAGAATGGTCCTTATTTAAACGTTTTGACTGTGGCTGCGCAGAGCCAGCCTCGGCGCCCGTGGCCGCCGCGGGCACCACGGCGGGCTCGCTGACCGCGAGCACGTAGGCGCCGAGGTCCCTCCTGCGCACGGGTGCCTGGGCCGCGGGCCAGCCCAAAGGCTGGGAGCGAAGACGACGGGGGCTGGGCGGATGATGCGAAGTCTGGAGCACGAGGGAGGGAGGGTCCGCGAAACGAAGAGGAGGAGGAGGAGGAGGAGGAGGAGGAGGAGGAGGAGGAGGAAAAGCAGGAGGAGAAGGAGGAGGAGGAGGAAGAGGAGGAGGAGGAGGAGGAGAAGGAGGAGGAGGAGGAGGAGGACGGAGGAGGCAGGGAGAAGGAGGAGGCAGGGAGAAGGAGGAGGCGGAGGAGGTAGAGGAGGAGGAGGAGGAGGAGGAGGAGGAGGAGGAGGAGGAAAAGGCAGGGAGGAGGAACAGGAGGAGGAGGAGAAGGAGGCAAGGAGGAGGCAAGGAGGAGGCAAGAAGGAGGCAAGGAGGAAGCAAGGAGGTCTCTGCGGGCTCCCGATCAGTGCGCCGGGCGCGGGAGTGACCCGCGCGCGCCGTGGGAGGAGGAGGAGGAGGAAGAAGAGGACGAGGAAGAGGAGGAGGAGGAGGAGGAGGAGAAAGAAAAATAGTGAGCGGCAGGAACAACAGGCAGCAAGCAACCGCGCGGTGGGCGGACGGAGGAGTTCGTCGGCGTCGGTGCCAGGACAGCGCCTCCGTGATCGACAGGGAGGGAGACACGAGAACGGAGGCTTGATTTTACTCGATCTCGTCAAGTTTTGACCGTTGATGTTCCTCGGGCCTCCGGGAGCCTCCAGAGACTTTCGGACACCTCCTGGGCACCAACTACGCACAGTCCTGGGCCAAAGATCGGCGTGTGCAGGTCCAGCAGGCTTGACCGGGAGGGCGTATACGTTGACCAATATTTGCTCAAGATGGCCTGGCGAGAAGGACAAGGAAGAGCAGGAGGAGAAAAGAGCGCAGCAACCGGGAAGGGGAGGAGGAGGAGGAGGAGGAGGAGGAGGAGGCGATCTATCTCGCTGAGCAGCGCCAGCGCTGGCTGCCACTGCTCGTCCTTTCTTGACCCGTTGACCCCAGCGCTGTAGTTCTGATAACATCAGAATTCCAGCACCGCCTCACTCATCTAGCTTCGCACCGTCAGAGCCCGCTGCCACTTCTCAGATTTCACTCACGCGCTGTTCCCCAGCGTTGTAGCTGACTAGCCTGTCGTATCGTCTCCCCGTAGTAGAGCGCCGATCGCAGGGCTGTAGCATGCTGCGACAGGCTCTATTTTCGCCTACCGCATCACGCACAGCAGCGCCAGTGCCCGCTGCCACTGCTTGCCCGTCTCGCACGCGCTGATCCAAGCGCTGAAGCTGATAACGTCGGGCTCCAGCTTCGCCTCCCGCATCTCGCTCAGCCGCGCCAGTGCCCGCTGCAACTGCTCGCCATTCTCGCACGCGCTGATCCCAGCGGTGTAGCTGACTAGGGCAGACCTGTGGACTCCGTCCACGACATCAGCTCGACGTGGCGAGGGATCCCTGGGCAAGCGCGGGGGGGTGCGGCTGCAGGGCCGAAAGGCAATCATGATGGCGTCGGGCTCCAGCTTGGCTTTCCACATCTCGCAGTGCAGCGCCAGGCCCCTCCTCCTCCTCCTCCTCCTTCTCCTCCTCCTCTTCCACCTTCTCCTCCTCTTTCGCTCGATTCTCCATGCCCTCGGTCGGCAATCGTCGATCCTACGACGACTCTCCCCAACAGAGAAACATCGAAGGCCCTCGGAGCGTCCAACATTGTTCTTTTGTGCCTTCGATATGCCGGTCGCCTCTCGTCCGCTCCCCCCCTCCTGGAAGCAATTCTGAGGCCACTTCGGGCTTCGTGGGGGCTGTTTGGGGATCTCTTGGGGCGTTTTTGCCTGCGATATGCCTGTCGCCTCTCGTCCGCTCCCCCGCTCCTTGAGGGAATTCTGAAGCCACTGAAGGCTTCGTGGGGGCCGTTTCGGAGCCTCTTCGGCCCTCTTTTGGGCCTCCCGGGGGGGCTCTTAGGGCCCTCTTGGGCCGTCTTGGGTGCCTCTTGGGCCGTCTTGGGGCCGTCTGAAGCCGGCTTCGGCGCCTCTTGGGCTGGCTTGGGCCGTCTTGGGCCGCTCCTGGGGCCGTCTTGGGTGCCTCTTGGGCCGTCTTGGGCGCCTCCTGGGCCGTCCTGGGGCCGTCCTGGGCCGCCGTGGGGCCGTCTTGGGGGCCCTCTTGGCCCGTCTTGGGGCTCTCTTGGGGTCCTCTTCGGCCGTCTTGGAGCGGTCTGGGGGAGCTCTTGGCCCGTCTTGGAGCGTCGGGGTGCCGAAAAGGCGAGGAGGCCGAAACCATCGAAAAACACAATGGAAATCGACGGTTTCTACCGCTCGGGGCCCTCTTGGGAGGCCTCTGGGGAAGCCTCTTGGGGCGTCTGGGAGGCTTCTTGGGCCGTCTTGGGCCAATCTTGAGCGTCTTGGGCCCATCTTGGGGCGTGCCGGGGCCCTCCGGAGCCGTCTTGGGGGCCTCTTGGGGCTTCCTTGGCGCGTCTTGGGGCCTCCCGGGGCGGCCCGGGGCGGCCCGGGGCCAGCCCGGGGCGGTTTCGGTGCATTGGGGCCTGCGCCCTTCTGGCACGCACTGGGCCCTGCAATGTAGTAGAGACTAGGGCTGACCCGCGGCCTCCGGCCGCGGAATTTGCCCGCCCTAGCGTGGACGTGGAAGTGGAGCGTCTCTGGGGCCTCGCGGGTAAGGGGAGGTTGGAGGGGACGGCGTGGATGGAGGAGGTGGCCGCTGGAGGGGAAGGTGGGCGAGGGATGCAGGCAAGCAGGCCTGAAGGCAGGAACGCGGTGGTGGAGGCGGTGTCAGTGGAAGCATACGCATGTAGGCATGACATGATGTGGACAGAAGCTGTTTCTGACGCCGCAATCTGTGTTCATCATAGCTTATGTGGGGAAGGTAGCCGTGAGAAGTTTATCTGCTCTTCGCCGGGGCCGAATGATGATTTCATCTGGCAGTGTGGTGACAATGGGGCCAGTGGGCGCGGCCTATGAGGCCCGCAAGAGGGCGGCGAGACGGAACTCACTAAGAAGGGCCCCAGTGTAAGGACACGAATCGACTTTTCGAGCGCACCTCCCCAAGACGTCTCCAAATAGCGCAAAGATGGCTCCCAGAGGGTCCAAGAAGCCTCCAAAACGATGCTGGAAGTTCGACGCTCCCCAAGAGAGAAGCATCCAAGGCCTCTCGGGGGCCGCTGGGGGGCCTCTTTTCGTCCTCCTGGGGGTGGGTCTCTCGGAGTCCTCTTTGACAGACTTGAGTGCATCTTGGGCCGTCTTGGGGCGATGTGGGGCCGTCTTGGGCGCCTCTCGCACCATCTTGGGACAATCTTGGGGCCATCTTGCACCAATATTGGGCGCTACTGGGGCTGTCTTTGGTGTTTCTTGAGCCGTCTCGGGCGCCTCTGGAGCCGTCCCGGACGGCCCAAAGACCGTCTTGGAGACTGTCCAAACGGAAAGGCTTGGAGACGGGGCGGCGGGGCCTCTACAGCCGTCTTGGAGACGGGGCGGTGGAGCCGTCTTGGGCCATTATGAACTGCTCTTGGGGCTGTCTTGGGTGCGTCTTGGGCCGTCTCGGGCGCCTCTGGAGCCGTCCCGGGGCAGTGTGTGGCCCTCTGGGCGCCCTCATGGGGGCGTCTGGGCGCGTCTTGGGGCGAGCTGGGGGGCCTGTATAGCCTTCTGGACGCTGCGAGGACGAAAAAGCAAGATATATTGAAAATGAGCGTTTCCCCTCGGGAATGAGACGGTTTGGGCCTCTTGGGGCTCTCCTGGAGGCCCTCCTTGGCTGGCCGTCTTGGGAGCCTCCTGGCCTGCCTTGGGGGCCTCTGGGGCTGTCGTGGGGCTCCCAAGCGTGCTCTGAGGCCGTCTTGGCGGCCCCTGGAGCCTCTTGGAGCCGTCCCGTTGGCCATTCTTGGCTGCTCTTGGGGCTGTCTTGGGTGCGTCCTGGGCTGTCTCGGGCGCCTCTGGAGCCGTCCCGGGGCCGTGTGGGGCCCTTTGGGTACCTCTGGGCGACGTCTTGGGGCGAGGTGGAGGGCCTCTATAGCCGTCTTGGACGCTGAGAGGACGAAAAAACGGAACATAGCGGAAATGTGCGTTACCCGTCGGGAATGGGACGATTTGGCCTCTTGGGGCTCTCCTGGAGGCCCTCCTGACCCTCCTGGCCTGCCTTGGGGGCCTTTGGGCTCTGGGGCTGCCTTGGGGCTCCCAAGGGTGCTCTGAGGCCGTCTTGGCGCCCCCTGGAGCCTCTCGGAGCCGTCCCGTTGGCCATTCTTGGCTGCTCTTGGGGCTGTCTTGGGTGCGTCCTGGGCCTTCGGGGCCGTGTGGGGCCCTTTGGGGGCCTCTGGGCGCGTCTTGGGGCGAGGTGTAAAGCCGTTTGGGGGCCCTCCTGGGGTGCTCTTGGGCCGTCTTGGGGCGATCAAGAAGGCCTGTATTTGGCCTCTGGGGGCATGCTTCGGAGTACTGTTGGAGGCTCTTGGAGGCCTCTTGGGGGGGTCTTGAGGCCCAGGGCTCGGAGTGTCAGGGTTTTTCCTCGTGCTTTGGCCGCCTCGTGGGCCTGGCTTGGGGTCCTCTGGGCCTTGTGTGGCCCAAGACTCGGAGTGTCAGGGTTTTTCCCCGTTCTGTGGCCCCCTCTTGGGCCTGGCTTGGGGTCCGTCTGGTGCCGTCTTGGGCGCCTCTTGGGCCATCTTGGGGCTCCCTGGGCCGTCTGGGGACGCGCTTGGAGGCCTGTTGGGCCGTCCTGGGGCGGTCTTGTGGATCTCTTCGGCCGGCTTGGAGCGTCGGCCAGCCCAGAAGGTGAGAAGGCAAAACTCCTTCAACAACAAATTGAAAAATGCTGGATTTTGGCCTCTGGGGACATGCTTCGGAGGACTGTTGGAGGCTCTTGGAGGCTTCTAGAGCCTTGGTGGGGTCCTCTAGGGGGCCTCGTGGGCCTTGTTGGGGGCCTCTAGGGGGCCTCTTGGACGCTCCTTGGAGCCTCTGATGGCCACTTCGGCACGTCTTTGGGGGGGGGCTCGATTTGTGACGCTCGGGGGCCAGGATCCGCGTGAGGGGTGTCGAAAAATGGCCCTCCAGGGAGGGCAAAATGCACGACCTTTTCGCACGCGCTTCCGTCTGCCACAGAGAAGAGACTAGGGCGAACCCGTGGACTTCGCCCACGACCTTCAGGTCCCCCTGGCCTGCCTTGGGGGCATCTGGGGCTGCCTTGGGGCTCGCAAAGATGCTCTGAGACCGTCTTGGCGCCCCCTGGAGCCTCTCGGAGCCGTCCCGTTGGCCATTCTTGGCTGCTCTTGGGGCTGTCTTGGGTGCGTCCTGGGCCGTCGGGGCCGTGTGGCCCTTTGGGGGCCTCTGGGCGCGTCTTGGGGCGAGGTGGGGGGCCTGTATAGCCGTTTGGGGGCCCTCCTGGGGTGCTCTGGGGCCGTCTTGGGGCGATCGGGAAGACCTGTATAGCCGTCTTGGACGCGGTGAAGACGAAAAGAGCGAGCATACCAAAAATGCACGTTTTCCGAAAGCGAATGGGGCAATGCTTGCCTGTTGGGTCCCTCCTGGGGGTCCTGGCTTGGGGTCCTCTGGGGCCGGCTTGGGCGCCTCTTGGGCCATCTTGGGGCTCCCTGGGCCGTCTGGGGACGCGCTTGGAAGCCTGGTGGGCCGTCCTGGGGCGGTCTTGTGGGTCTCTTCGGCCGTCTTGGAGCGTCGGCTAGCCGAGAAGGCGAGAAGGCAAAACTCCATCAAAAACCATTGAAATATTAAGGATTGTGGGCTCTGGGGGCATGCTTCGGAGTACTGTTGGAGGCTCTTGGAGGCCTCTTGGGGGGTAGAGTCTTTGGGCCTTGTGTGGGCGTATGGGGGCCCAGGGCTCGGAGTGTCAAGGCTTTTCCCCTTTCTTTGGCCCCCTCGTGGGCCTGGCTTGGGGTCCTCTGGGGCCGTCTTGGGGGCCTCTTGGGCCATCTTGGGGCTCCCTGGGCCGCCTGGGGACGCGCTTGGAAGCCTGGTGGGCCGTCCTGGGGCGGTCTTGTGGGTCTCTTCGGCCGTCTTAGCGCCTCTGGGACCGTCTGGGAGCCGCCTCGGAGCCGTCTTGACTCGCTTTGGGACCGTCGCGGCGCTGTCATGGCAGCCCCTTGGGCTGCCATCGGCGCCTCAAGAGCCATCGTGGGGCCGTCTTGGGGCCGTCCAGGGGGCTTCCAGAGGCGTGGTGGGGTGATCTGGAGGTCCAGTAGGGCCGTGTGGACATCGCAATGGACAAAAAGCAGTGGACCTGGAAAAAGGCTCGTGTTCCTTAGGAATTTTACAGATTTGTCATTGATCTGGCTTTTTGGGGGCTCGTCCTGGAGCCGACTTGGAGCGTCTCGGGAGGACTTTTGGGCCGTCTGGTGCGTAGCTTGGGCATCTCGGAGCGCTGTGGGACCTAGTCGAAGGTCCTCTTGGGCCGTCCTGGGCGCTCTGTGGCCATCTAGTGCGTCTCGGGCCGTCGTGGGGCGACCAGGGGAGCTGGTTACGCTCCGCCAGCGCCCGCACTTCCCGCACGCACGTGTCCCTGCGTTGTAGTGTAGACTAGGGCTGACCCGTGGACTACCGACCACAAATGCCAGTGGTCAGAGTGCCCATGCTGCTGCTGCTGCTGCTGCTGCTGCTGCTGCTGCTGCTGCTGCTGCTGCTCGTTGCTTCAGAGCGCGATGCTTGCGTGATGATTCTGAGGGCGTCCAGAGCAGCGCTAGCAGTATCAGCGGTATCAGATCCCGGGGTTTGGGCAGTAGCAACAGCAGCAGCTACACCTCCTCCTCCTCCTCCTCCTCCTCCTTCTCCTCCTCCTCCTCCTCGTGTTTGGCTCGTCCTCGTCCTCCGCCTCCTCCTCCTCCTCCTCCTCCTCCTCCTCCTCCTGCTCGTCGTCGTGCTTGGCCCGTCCTCGTCCTCCAGCTCGTGCTCCTCCTCCTCCTCCTACCTCTCCTCCTCCTCTTCCTCCTTGTGGTCCTTGTGGTCCTTGTGGTCCTTGTGGTCCTCGTCCTCCTCCTCCTCCTCCTCCTCCTCCTCCTCCTCTGACTCTTCCTCCTCCTCTTCCTCCTCTTCCTCTTCCTCCTCCTCCTCGTCCTCCTCCTCCTCCTCTTCCCCTTCCGCGAGATCGTGCAGTTCCGACTCGGCGGGCAGGAGCGCCTGTGGCAGAGGAGAGCGACGACGGGGAGGAGAAGGAGGCGGCCCAA